TCAAACTTATTTTGACTGTATGTGCACATAATAATCCTCATCATCAAAGTGAAAATAACATTTTAAAACATTCTGTACAATTATTAAAAATAAGTTGATGAAATACCTGATTTGGTTAAGTGATCAGCCCCCTAGAGTATACCATTATAAACTTACTCAGGTGCAACCAATCAACTTCCAGATCAAACAGCAGGCCAATTGCCTCCCACCTGATATTAATTGCAGTGGTTTTGATTACTCTAGAATAAAACCGGCTGTTTTCTTGAAAATTCCACGACTCGTAGTGCATGGTAGTGAAAGGATTCAACATGGTTGGAAAAGTACATTCAAAAGAACTCCGGGATAAAGTTGTAAAAAGGCACAAATTATGTGAAGGCTACAAAAAGATTTCAAAGGCTTTGTCTATCCCTCTGAGTACCGTTTCAGAGCATCATTAAGAAGTGGAAAGCATATGGCACCACCAACACCTTGCCTAGATCAGGCCGTCCGTCCAAACTGGATGACCGAGCCAGAAGGACATTGATCAGAGAAGCTACCAAGAGGTAAAAGGCAGCTTTGAAGGAATTAGAAGACTTCATGGCTGTGACTGGTCAGTCTGTGCAAGTGACAACAATCTCACAAGCTTTACACAAAGCCGGTCTGCATGGCAGGGTGGCAAGAAAGAAGCCTTTTTTGAAAAAGTGCCATACTCAGTCTCGTCTGCGCAATGCAAAAACACATCTGGAAGATCCTGTTACCATGTGGAAAAAGGTTTTATGGTCAGATGAGACTAAGATTGAACTTTTTGGACTGAACTCCAAGCGCTATGTTTGGCGAAAACCAAACACAGCACACCACCCAAAACACACCATACCTATTGTGAAGCATGGTGAGGGCGGCATTATGTTGTGGGGATGTTTCTCTTCAGCGGGGACTGGGCAGTTGGTCAGGATTGAAGGGAAAATGGATGCTGCCAAGTACACCCAAATTCTTGAGGAAAACCTGCGTCCCTCTGCTAGACAGCTGAAGATGGGCAGGTCATTCACCTTCCAACTCGACTATGATCCTAAACATACTGCCAGAAGAATAAAGCAGTGGCTTAACCCCTTGTGGACGGGATTTTTAGATAATTTCCGTACCCCTGGACGGGATTAATTTGGGGGAAAATTAAGTTTTTTTTAGATTTGATTTTATCTTCAATATAATCTGTTTTTATTCTCAAAAAAGTACTTCTGTTGTATTTTAAGATGTTTTTAGCTAACAAAACACCTTTTATTTGCCTTTTAAATCCCAGAATTGTCACCCTGGGAGTCTATTGCAGCAGTATCATGGCCTATCGAACTATCACTAGCACTGCCGCCGCCAGAATGTTGCCAAGCCACATCGTTAGCACTGTCAGAATCTGAATCGAACTGTCCAAAAAGTCGCGAAAATTAGACCTACTACAATTCCGGGACCTACGAACCATACTATCGGTTCGCTCATCAGAATTATTTTCCACACAATCTTCTAATGAAGACGATCACAATCAGCATTTTCTGAACCACTGCTTGCGCAAATAACGTCCAAAAACTTCACCCAAAGACAGCGGGCGCTTCCTGAAGTCGCCATTTCACGGTATTGTCATCGAAAAAGCCGAGAATATGCATTCAATCTCCACTCTAAAGGGGATTCCCGGCTTCGTGCTGCCATCTAACCACAGGGGAGGTAACTAATGACGATCTAAGGGCAAGCCGAAATTCCCAAGTTAAGTTTAGCGTGTTTACTCAGGCATGAAGTAGAGTGTCAAGTGTGACGTGTCAACACGTCACCCGCCTCTGGGCACGCAAAAAATTTGCGTTTTAACACGTCATCCGTCCAAAATGGGTTAAGGATGGGAAGGTGAATGTCCTTGAGTGGCCAAGTCAGAGCCCTGACTTAAACCCTGTGGATTGTGGATCAAATCTGTGCATTGACTTGGAGAGCAGTCCATCACCGATCCCCACAGAATTTGACTGAACTTGAACAATTCTGCAAGGAAGAATGGGCAAATATTCCCCAATCTAGGTGTGCAAAGCTAATAGACATATCCAAATAGACTGATGGCTGTAATTAAAGCAAAAGGAAGCTCTTCAAAGTATTAAATCAGGGGGCGGATAACTTTTCCAACCCTGTTATTCTAGTTTTTCATTTTTTTTTTAATTTTCAGAACTGTTGCCTTTGTTTTCATTATTTTGATGTTGTATGACTAAATTTGTAAATAAAACTGGAAAAAGATTTTTTTAAATGGGTTTTGATTTCAGGTTGTATGACAAATAAAGTAACTATTTCAAAGGGGTATGATGATTTTCTATATTCACTGTACCTGATGCCAGTTAACTTCACCCCTTAAGCCCTGAGCCGCTTTTTCGAAAATGGCAAGCACAACATGAAATGAGTATATCTCTGCAACTATCTGGTCCATTTGAATAATCTTGGTATTATAATAAAGGTAAAACCATTTGGGATTTCTGCCGTGGTGTTAAAATCAGTATACATGTCACCGAGTCAGAGTAAATTACGATGGAACAGGGTATAAATGGGTCATTCCATATGAAATCACCCAAAATGGGGGATGCGCCCAGCTTGATGGTTTCAGAATTGCTTCATTTGGTGATATTTTGTTGCATGTAATGAGCAAATCAAATCGTAGGTGGTTTCAAGTTGATATCTCGTTCCGTTCCCATTTTATGGGCCCCCGAAAAAGGGGGCGTGGCCCACGTTGACCCTCTGGTCACAGTTTGTGACCATTTTCCAAGGGTTATGACGATGAACTAATAAGGATACAAATTTCATTCTTTCAGGATATGCTTATTCTGTCTAATAGTCTGCAAGAAACCTTTTAATACAGTGGTTAACCCTTTGAGTGCTTTGCAATTAACCCCTAAACATTGAAATTTGGTGCCAAACATGTCGATTTCAAATGAAATATTATGCAAGTATCCTTAGAATGTTCCCTTTACCATTTACATTGTTGATAGTATACCTTTTGGAGTTTCAACTGAAGGTAAAAACATCTTTCTATCTTTATCCAATTTGGAAAAACATTAACTTCTTTTCAGCTAAATACCGAAACGGTGCACTTTTTGACCCTCATTTTGACCATGTGGGCCTGTTTTGATTTTCAAAAAGTTGGCCTCACATGAAAGCTTATTCACAAAACTTCAAAATGCAACACAATCAAACTTGGAACAAATACTCCTACTTGTAAAAATAAGACCCCTTCTAAGCGCTATTTACACATCGGCACAACTACTCTCAGTGTACAGGTAAATGTACAATAATGTACATGGAATACTGAACTCCACTCATTTATTTCTACTTTCAGTTGCATGCTCTTTGATCATTTGCAGCCTGTGTCATTTTCTAGTATTTGTTTTCCCAGTAATTTCAAGATAATTTGATAGACCAGGCAGAATTGTTATCAATGTGGATGAAACCCTTCAAACCGTACCTGCCCCTTCATGCCCTTTATTTGCAAAAAGGGAATTGGGGTACTTTAACTGCTTGAGCCTGGTTTCCTTCTCTCTTGTGCTCAAGATTTCGATCATAAATACTGCCTGTAGATGTCAGCAGAAAGGTGGTAGGCGGATCCCGTTAGTAGGCCTACATGGTTTCTGAAAACAATGGCTGAACCATCATAATCTTCCGAATCTAATCCCCCATGCACTGTTTGGTATTGTGAATGAGTCCTTGTCCATTTATGTACATTTACCTGTACACGGAGAGTAGTTGTGCCGATGAGCAAATAGCACTTAAAAGGGGTCTTTTTTCCAAGTAGGAGGATTTGTTCCAAGTTTAATTGTGTTGTATTTTGAGGTTCTTTGAATAAGCTTTTATTTGAGGCCAACTTCTTGAAAATCAAAACAGATCCACATGGTCAAAATGAGGGTCAAAAAGTGCACCGTTTCGGTAATCAGCTGAAAAGGAGTTAATGTTTCTCCAAATTGGATGAAGATAAAAAAGTGTTTTTACCTTCATTTGAAACTCCATCAGGTATACTATCAACAATGGAAATGGCAAAGGGGACATTCTAAGAATACTTGCATAATATTTCATTTGAAATCGACATGTTCGGCACCAAATTTCAATGTTTAGGGGTTAATTGCAAAGCACTCAAAGGGTTAACCACTATATTAAAAGGTTTGTTGCAGACTATTAGACCGAATAAACTTATCCTGAAAGAAAGAAATTTGTATTCTTATTAATTCATCGGTTACAACCCTTTGAAAATGGTCACAAACTGTGACCAGAGAGTTAACGCGGGCCACGCCCCCTTTTTCGGGGGCCCATAAAATGGGAACGGAACGAGATATCTACTGGAAACCACCTGCGATTTAATTTGCTTATCACAGGTAACAAAATATCACCAAATGAAGCAATTCTGAGACCATCAAGCGGGGAGCTTGGGTGATTTCATATGGAATGACCCAAATGAAAGATCTTATTTTGCACCAAACAAAGTTTTATTTCTATTCCTTGTAAATTTGTTTAGTTGCAGTCTGAAACCTCTAAAAATTTACAGCACAGAATCTCACCATTATCTGTGCCAAAGTATATTCTAATCAAGTAAATCAGAACAAAATTAGAGAGGAATGTCTAGGTGGGTTCTCCAAATTGGCAATTCAGGTACCTTGTGTGCCAAATAAGATTTCTCAAATACTAAACTGTAAAACTCATCTACTTTCACTAATATGTCACTACAGGCATATATTCCACCCAAATACAACCAGTTTTTAATTTTTAGAATTTAGAATTTTTTTTTTTTAATAATTATTTCTGCCAGTCCTATAGCCTATACAATCCCATTCAAAGACAATAAATAAAAAAGAAAATGAAGTTTGGCTCCACTGGAGCAGATTTATTTATTTTTTTAAAAAAAAGCAAATTAGTAAGATTATGAATACAATGGAAAGGTTAAAAAATGGAGGAAAAAAGTAAACAGAACAAAAACCCCATCAATTATTTATACATGAAAAATGCTACCATTGTTACCTAAAAGCACCTCACACCGGGATTCAAACCCTGATCACTTGCATAATAGTCCATTACCTTAACCACTGGGCTATGTTAATTGATGTTATGCAAGGTGCCAAACTGCCCATATAAAGAATGAGTCAAGAAAACAAGTCGCTCACTTTGTTTGTTTTGTTGTGCCCTCACAATTCACGTGTTTTCTGTCAAAAAACGACTTGGAAAACGGCGGTTGAATATTTAGTGGATAATTATACCGAAAATACCACAAACAAACCTGTTAAGCATTTATCGTCGCGCTATTTAAGTACATTTGAATGGCCCATGGACTCGGTTTGATGCACTGGGAACGCAAGGCTCTTTCTCAGACTAGCTTTGTGCGATTAAGCTGGTTTAGGGCTCGTTGGAAACGTCAGAGCCCATAGAATCAAATGGTTACCGGCAAAGTCTTACTGACATCATCACAAGCCGATCACAGAGAGGAAAATACATTGCAAGCAAGCAGAATGCTGAGGAACTCAGATCTTTGAAGCAACGCCCTGGGAAAAAAACATGCGAGGATACTGGCAGATCTAGTTTCGTTATAACACGGACACTTTCAGTTTACAATCGCAAGCATGGATTTACCCTCAAACAGTTTTTTTAATACAAAATATCAAAGGTAAGAAATTTTTTTGCTCATCTCTGTAGACTGTAAAGTGTATGTCCGCTGTTCTTTGAGTGTGGTTTCGGTTTAAAATAACAGTGCATATATCGTTTGATTCTGGGGACTTTCCCCTTTCATTTGAAATATCGTTTGTATGCATAGCACAAATTCAGGAGAAATTCTAGCAACTCAGCGCTGAAATTATTTTATCCTATGTTTTGCTACATGCTTATTTACTTGGTTGGTGCTTGAATTGTGTTCGGTTGAGATAAAAATTGTCTACATTAGATTTTTGCTGAGTTTCTTCGCGTAAAGCGGAAATGCCGCATGACAGTGTTGCCATTTGGAAACACACTGTATTTATCATGCGTAAGCACCGCCCCCGGTACCAGGGGCGTCAGGCTTAAGGGGTTAATTACTTGCTAAATGTTCTTTCAGCTGATTCTCTTATATGGGTGATTATCATGAAGCTTAAGTGAACATGTCCAAGTCATATTTTCTAAAAATGAAAATATTTTAATCATTAGTTTTTATATATTCTACAAAGGGAAGAAGTCCACTGTAGGAACGCGTTTTAAAAAATAATTTTAGTTTATTTTCATAATTATAGACAAAATATCCCCATGAATTCTCATTACCGAAATGCGTCCCAAACCATTATTCAATCATTTCTTTTAATCCCGCAAAAATCCTGTGTAAATTTTTAAAAAAAATAGGACCAAGGGTCCTGTCGCTTACCGGCAAGTAGTCTTATTGTGATGATACAAGTTATGAAAATTTCATGTGAGTTTGACATTTGAATCAATAAAAATTAATATCAAGGCCACTAAATAAAAGTTCACATACATTTATAGGACCTCCTGTAACACAAACACAATCTTAAGCTCTGAAGCAGTTTTGGTGATACAAGTCATTGAAAATTCAATATGTCAATTGTGAAATTAAAGGTCACAGAATGTCAAGTTGTGGTCAGCAAATGGACTTCACATATGACTTTCTAAATGTCTCAATACAAACCTTGGCTCAATCGGTGACCATTTTGGTGATACAAGTCATTGTAATTTCACTTTCAAGTTTGACCCTCAAAGGTCACTGACAGTCAAGTGGAATATCACCAAATGAAAGTTCATATGCGACGTCCTAGATGTCAATAACACAAACCTAGGCCCCATCTGTGACCATTTTAGTGATACAAGTCATTGAATTTTCACTAGGTCACATTTGACCTTTGAAGGTCAATACGAAGGTCGCCAAATGAAAGTTCATATATGACTTCCTAAATGGGTCATTCCATGTCAAATCATCAGATTTTCAAAACATCTGTCACCATGTAGTCATAGATTGCTTCCGTATTTTCAGATAGATAAATATGTATTAGTGATGAACAAATCCAAAATTTCAGCTCATTCGGACCAAAAATGAATTTTTGGTGAATTATTTTCTAAGGGTACTGTTCGTCAGTTTTTTTGTCAATTGACATTTTTCTTGAGTTTAACATGGCATAACTTTTTTATTATTATGCCTATAGCTTTGAAACTTTGCATCTAAGCTAATGTTACACTGCTTAATCAGAAAATGCAGTCCATTTTACTTTATCTTTCTTGGTTGTGGGGCTATAAGGACACCAAAAGTGCCTTTTGTTCAGGCAGTTCCATGTTTAGATCCCCAAAGCACCCCCAATATAAACCCTAGCATAGGCTCTCTGGAATTTTTTCCATTCATTTGTGTCTGCTGAATATAAATCAGGCTGAATTCACCTTGAATTCATCACCAACTGCAGTCAGTACCTTGCCAAATGTGAAAAAAAGCTAAAACGCCACCTGTTCCAACCCCCGTATCTCCAGGGGCACACCTTGGATTTTCATCTATTTTTTTTAACTGATTCCTCTATTATAGTAGAAAGACCTCTCCAAAAATTGTTGATGTGTTTTGACCAATATAAATTTTGCAGGTGTCTGAACAGGGGTGGGGTAATCTCGAGAATCGCGTGGCACTTTCAGCTTCTTGCACATTTAACTATGCAACATTTTAAGTGTGTTCAATCATTAGTCAATCACATCCTAAATTGTAGTAATTCCTGTATTATACTAGACATAACAAAACAAAAATTGTTGATGTGACTTGAACGACATACATTTCAGAACTGTCTAAATAGGGGACAGGCAATTTTTGAGAATCACACTTCTTTGCATCAATAAAATTTACTGACATTAATTCTTGTAAACTGACTGTCAAATTAAAACTTTGTTTTCTATGCTATGTTAACAGCGTTATTGCTTCCTAAAAGCTGCAAAGAGCACAACAATGTTGTTTGTCCCAGTTTTGTCCAACTTATACTGCCGGGCTATGCGTCCAGTGACATCCGGAGTTGGAACAGTTCGGAGAATGTTATTGAATGGCACCCAGCATTTTTCAGAAGAAGTCCATGTTAATGCTTGTGTCCTCTTGTTTCGCTTCATGAAAGACAATAGCAATAATCAGAAATTATTGATCAATAACTGGTTCAGGTTTCTCCCTGCCAACATGTTCTACCAACCTGCATATACTGACCTTTCTGTGAATGTGTCATGCACTGATGAATTGAGAACTTACAATTATTGTGATTCAATAATCATTAACATTGTATAAGAAGCTGAAAATGCCAAGCGATTCTTAAAATTACCCCACCCCTGTTCAGACACCTGCAAAATTTATATTGGTCAAAACACATCAACAATTTTTGGAGTGGTCTCCCTACTATAATAGAGGATTCAGTTAAAAAAATAGAAGAAAATCCAAGGTGTGCCTCTGGAGATACGGGGGTTTGAACAGGTGGCATTTTAGCTTTTTTCACATTTGGCAAAGTACTGACTGCAGTTGGTGATAAATTCATGGTGAATTCGCCATTTTCCAAATAATCGGATTGATTTGCAATACTTGACAATTTCAGCTTCCACACAAGCTTCGCAACTACAAATAAGAAAAATTGCGAGTACATCTGGACAGTGTTAAACAAACAACTTCAGGATCACAACATGGGGCCATCAAGCTGCAACATACCAAGCAGCTCAGAAACAAGGTTAACGTCACCAACTTTGACCGCTCATTAACAAAAACACTTGCATCAATCTAACGTAATACAACATGGGCAGCATGACAGCAGTGTTATCACGACGGTCATTGGTTATTCTGGCCCGAATTCTACAACGTAGCTAACGTTAGCTAGAACGTTATACCGCCAATACCTCTCCTGTAGCAATACGATGCGTCCTCGGGTTCCCACACCAGTCCGAGGTAGCAATCAAGAGCAGTTGCACGTTATTACAAAGCCAATACAGATACGAACTCACTGACAAGCAATATAGGTAGCTGCGACAGACGAAATGGCACCACGACGAATTAGTTCAGCCTGGCGCCTGTCTATTGATGACATCTACAGGCGTCACCTTCCCCACAATGCCAGCCCTCCCTTCGCATCAGCGTTGAGTCAATCTAGCCAGCCCTAGAAATTTTACTCTGCTCATCGACGAGATCGATTGAACTCAAAAAACACAAAATACACCATAAATATGTATTACACATGAAAGTGACCAGCCAGCGAATGGATAACCAGTTATGGTTATAGCTAGGAATCGTAGCCGTCAGCAGACATTAGCTAGCCGAAGTAACAAACTAAGCTAGCTACTTATTAACTAACAAACGTAAGTTGGCTAGCTACATGTCTATGCAGACGGCAGCTAAATTCTATCAATACCTAATCAGTTCAATATGTCAATAACACCGCCCTTAAACGTTGCAAACTGGGCTAGCTAACCAGACAGACAGGAGACGAGGCTACCAACTTCGCTGACGTTAGCCAACTTACTACATGCCTCCATGACTAGTTAGCCAATAGGTTAACCACAGTTCACCACTTTGCGAGAGTCTAGCTAGTAAGCCATACAGTTATTTGCTTGCTAACGTATGAAAATCACAATGTCTGCATGCATTCACTCAACCAGTTGCTAGACTAGTTCTCTCAGTCGCCTGACTAAGCAACTAGTGAGTTAGCTAGCTAATGTTTCTGATCACTAACAACTTCAAATGGATGCTGTAATCCTGAATGTTAACTTGCCAGCCAAGTAGCTAGCTTTGACATGTAGCAAGCTACCATGCCAACATCTATTTCGCTAAATAATACACTAAATAGCCACAAAATAACGATCAAAGCATGGCATGATTAGCATACCTTCCTATTATTAGCCAGCAAGCTATTCTGTTCTACGTACGCCCAATATCAGAGAACCAGGACCCCCAACGAGTATCAGTCCTTACCTTCATCAGTTATTCTAATACATTTTCAATGCCGATATCAATCTATTATTCCAGATTAACAGCGAAACCCCGATAAATAGGAAAGAACTAGCGCACTAGCTAGCTGCACGACATAACCAGCTACATCCTCAGTTGCCGCAGCCACTTCTTCTTCTTCTTCTT